CGTATAATGTATGTCTATACGAAGTTATTACGAGTTCCGTATTCTCGTTTATAGCGTTCCTCTTTTTTATTCCCGGGCACGTACAGCCGGCACGTATTTATGGCGTTACAAACTACACTCGAAGATTTATCGACGCTGCTCCGCGATAACGTAAACCGCCGCGGACGTAATTATTTCTCATGACAAACGGCAGTCTTCGTGAACGGTAAAATCTCGACCGCGAGAAGAATACCTCGTTGTGAGACGTACAGTGACATACGTGTCGATACAAAAACCGACGGTAGCCCGTGCAAGAACACGAAAAGAACTTCCGGTATAACATCCGAGGCAGAGTCAAGCGCGCAATTAGCAAATAGCAAATTATTTCTTATCATTCATTGCAGATCGTTAATCGACGATTGATTTAATAAAGACACGCAAGCCGGTGTCACTTTCTACGTTAAAATTATATAATCATTTCTTCCGCTTATCTAAGAGAAATTATTCTTTTCGGGATGCATCCGTATCGAGTCCCGAGAATCCGCGAATAACCTATTTCCGAGGAAACTCGAGGCTATGAGGAGATGTATAATAGGAGCCTCTGGTCGGTCGTCGAGTTCTGTAACCGGTCAATCTTTCCGTAGATTTTCTCTTTTTGCGCGCTTTAACTGGCGCCATCTTTAAGAGTCCGTCTTTTCCGATCCGGTCTTGAACTACCGCGAGTCGCGACCACAATCTTCGTTATCTTCATCGATAGCAGGAATTCTTGCTCGTGATGGAAGCCGTTGGACACTTTTCTTTTCCTCGACACGAAAATTGTCAGCCAGGATCGCAAAGCCGATGATGTGCTTATACGTGTCACATCCTTTCAGATTTTTTTGATCCGCTTTAATCGCCTCCGAGGCGGAGATTTACCGCTTCGGCTCCACTTTCTATGAAATTATTATCAATTTCCGTTCAATAGATACTATGCTGGTTCTGTATACATGACGTCATAAGTAATTTATCATACCAGGCCTACTTACATCTTTCTACACGTTTTATTATTGCAGTTCTATTTACTCTCATTTGATTTATAAATAGCAAGATGATTAGACGAAAAACGTATCTGCTAAATTTTCAATTTATGAATTCTATAGCAAATTAATTTTAAAATTAATAAAATCTGCTTAATTTAGTTGTCATTATATTGACGATAAAATGTTTTAACGTTTTAATTCGCTAATTCTCCACATTATTTGCAAAACAAAAAATGATTCTATCACAGTATATCATGTCGATATATTTTTCCTCTCTCGCTTTTCGCTCGATTTCTTTTCGCGTGCTAAGTCTCGAATAACGATGGGCCGCAATGAAATGCAACGAAAAATCAATCTGAATCAGCTGAACATGCGTCAAATGTAGAACGCTGGTCTCTCGATGCGTGACGGCCACGCGAGGACGCATGATCGTCCTCCGGAAGCACGTGTTGCCGATTAGATATAGATACGGAAATTGCGAGAACCAAGCTTGCGTTAACTTTTCAACAATGATTTTATTGAAAAGTAACTTACGCAGAGTGTATCACTGGATTATAAAAAATTCTGTTAACAGGACACGCAATGTCAGTTACATGAGACGTACGCTTCATAAATTTGTATTATTGGAAGATATATTGCATGTTTACGTAATAAGATAAATTAAAAGATTTATTACAGTATAGAATTTTCGTGTTTAGAAAATTACAATAGAATATATTTTTTTATCAGACATCAAAAGGTTAAAATATATCAGAACAAAACGTTCCGTACTTCATTATGCGGGCATTGAAATCTCTGCACTTTGAGTTACATGCAAGGGAGATCATAAAAGGATCTCAGTAATCTCATCTCAATAAAAGGAGAACGTTAGAAGAAAGTAATCTGAATTGTGATATAAATATCACAATATCCTAAATATTCTTTTATTTTTTAATGGGAAAATTGAAGAAGTACATAATAAAATATATCAAGATAATAATAAAATATATCAAAATAACAAATAACAAAGAAGAATTAGAGTACTGCAAAAGAGAAAGATGATTAAATATATATCATATGATAATTATGCAGGATAGATTTAGAAAGTAAATATAGTTTAACATGTATTCGCCATGAAAGCGACAAGAGAAGAGAAAAAAAGAGAAAAACGAATGAAGAAGATAGAGGTATAATAAAGAGACATTTATAGTAGATATTTAATTTGATAATCTATGTGAACACGCGCGCGCGCGTGTGTGTGTGTGTGTCTGACATGCGAGCAAAAACTATTAACCAAAAAGATGTCTGAAAGAAAGATGTAGCGCGATGCTTATTCACGCATAGCATAGGGATGTAATTAAAAGCCTCTCTAGGTTGTCGGCAAAAAAGAAAAGAAAAAATATGATGGTAATCACTGGTCGCGCGCAAATGAATCATTCCCGATTGGAAAGATGGATTTGCATAATTTACATGCTGTCTACCTGATAATCGATTCGCCCAGCGATATCCCGATATCTTTACGTTCTCTCGAACATTACGAATACGGTACTGTAGGCAAAAACATGCTTCTGAACAGCGTCGAGTAGCCGCAAGTCAGTCGATTTTTTGCATTACAATTGCAATCGAGAATTGAGCTACAATTTTAACGGATCAGCTTAGTCTTGTCTCTGGATGTTGTTGAGAGTTCCAAGCGTTTTCTTAGAATTGTGTGTGTGTTTTTTAATAATGCTTAAATAACGATATCTGGTATTTTATGTAAGGATTATTTCTACGTGAAAATATATAGATAATTGAACTATATACATAAATCCACAGATTAAAGTAAAATAGGAGATTGTACATATATTTATGTAAAACCAGATACAATAGATACAATACGAAATCTTGTAATTCTCGGTAAATAATAAAAGCAACATGATTATCTTAGGATGCTGAATAGTTGTACATTGTTTCTAACATAAGAATATTTAAATTTTCTATGTATTATACTTTATGTGGATTACTTTCAAGCAAAGGTAGGTTTACCTCAGGATAGTTAAATTACGTAGATTCTATAGAACTGTGAGGGGTACTGCTCATTAAGAATCTACATGGAAATTATGAAGAAAGAACTGGAATTTCACGTAAGAGACTGGAATTAATCGAGGAAGGTCGCGCATCGGGTGAACCCCCTCATTATTGAACGACCCTGCATTACGGCAAAAACAGCCTCCGGTTCGCGAGTCGCGACTCGTTCGAAATTGGTTCGCCGACAGGTCGTACGACGTCTTCGACTCGTGGAGCCAGGTAATTGGACAATTAAACTCGCGCCGAGGAAAAACGTGACGGGAAGAGAGAGAGAAAGAGAGAGAAAGAGAGAAAGAGAGGATAGGGGAGGGGAAGAAGAAGAGAGTAAAAAGGGTGAAGAACGTGATGGTTGCAGGTTCTGCTGAGTCAGCTGTGGCGCTGGACTTGTTATAAATAGCCCTGCCGGCATATTCTCGCGCCGATCCGGCGATACCGCTTCCATATCTGGAATCCCATGTATCAGTATTTCTTTACGCCACACGTGCATCGATGTGTGCACGCGTATGCGTGCACGTGTCGTGGCCGCCGCTCGCTTCGGCCCGATCTCGTGAACGCCTCGGGACACATAAGCCCATTCAGACTCAGACGCCCGGATCTCGTTCTGAAAACCATATTGAAGTATCAAAGGAATGCAGATACGACATTCAGGTTTGATGAAGCTATATTGTTTCATTTGAAATTCTCGAACTAATAATAAAAGATGCTGGCGACGATAGAAGAAATTAATTAAATGCAAATTCTCTTAACTGTTCTTCCACTCCGATTTTCTTTTTCCGAAAATTATTAAAAAAGTTTTATTTAGAACTTTGTGTGGATATAAATAAATAACATAAAAATCGTTATCGTTATTTTAGAAATGACTTGCCAGTTTATCAATAGTAAATTTATCTTTTATGCTGAATAGAATACGATTCGCTCATCGCACTTTTTTTCAAAGATTTACTTATTCAAACATTTACTTTAAATTAAACTGCTTAATGACATAGTCGCTCACCTTGAGAGTCGCAGATGATATAATATGATATATGTTATGCTTACATGCATGGAAAAAATGTTCGAATGCAGATGCATTAGTATGCATCAGTATGAAAAAAGTCTGATCTATTAGTGTAACAAGTTTGTGTTCTCACATCAAAAATACCTTGCTGTTAAAAGAATTTTTGTACCTCTCTCTCTTTCTACAGCATAAAAGAATTAAAACGGATATAAATGAATCTTTTCAATGTCATTCGATGTCTGCTTGAGATTATACAATTCGCATATTAATATGATACAGGATCGAAGATACTTATTTTGTGCAACAATGCGGCCGTGATGTCCAAAATGACGGCGTTCGATTAAATGTTGAACGACGGTAGAACGTTAAATGTCCTTCGATATGGCTGCCACATGACCCCGTCGTAAAAATGCTGGTTTGAGATTATGAAGGGCGTTTTGCATTTAATTGGGCATTTATGCCTTAACGAGACTGGAGTGATCACGCGATAAATGTGTTTAATGTACAAGATAGCGTTGCGAATATAGGTAATTAAAGGAATGTCTCGAGATTAGTATATTTGGCAGCTTAAGATGCTCGAGAAGACACGACGTCTTTGACATGTTGTCAAAGATAATTGCAATAATTGTGAACGTTTTTATATTACGCTACTTTACATTTGATTTTTTTATAAAAAGATATAATATCTCAGTTGCTTATCAGCTGTAAAATGTCATGATAAATTTTATATCAAATAATATTCGAATATATTAATAATCGAGCGTGGCGTATGTAATAAGTTAAATATTTTACAAAACATGCCGCGAAGAATTGGCAAATAAATATGTATTACGCCTTCAAAATCAAATTTAATCCACTTTATACCGACGGCGTATGATTAACATGTCGAGGTTTAAGAATATCAAAGTAAAATTATTCCTCAAGTCATCACTATTCTTTCTCATTAATTTTTTTATGGCCATTTTTAGCACGAATACACGGATGCAAGTGTTATTTCGCTTAGTACGCATTGTTACATATATTAAGTTCTTTTTTAATTTAATATAAACATTTTAAATAATTTTAATATAATATTTTTTAACATAACGTTACCAATTATCATTCTTATTTTAAACCAAAATAGTCAGTATGATTAAATAACCCAAGTGTAGTAAATGGGTTGAAAAAAATATCCTTGTAACGTTCTCAAGGATTCAAGGACATCTTATTATGTTTCGAAGACACAATATAATGTATCTCCAGGATTCATATCTTGCGTCATAATGAATTTAGATGAATATAAAAACACGTTTAAAAAATTTACAAGTCGAAAAAATTTTAGCACAATTTTGGTCTGTCATCTCATTATGTTAAGAGCTGATTGATGGGATTATAATTGCCCTGAAATATATACATGAAGACAGACATGAGCTTCTTCCAGAACAAGGGAGTGTCAGTATAGAAAAGATTTAGTGTTCTTTTGCCTGTAAGATTTAATAGCGTGCTATTTAGACCGACTACGATAATCACTTTGAAAATCAAATTAACATACATACAAATTCTCTCCATTAATGTGTGCATAAAAGTAACAGAAATGAAGGAGACTGATCTCGCGGATTTTGCGACTTAGTCTATGTTATAAATATTTGAGATGTATAGTATTATGATATTTATATTAGAAAAAATCTTATATTATGATTAGAGAAAGAAAATCAATTAATTTATTGCAAATTAATTTCTTTTTTTTCTTTACAGAGATGACGATCAATTTCTTTCATTTTTATTTATTTACGTTATCTTTATAAAATACATACAATTAAAATATTACAAAAAAATTGGTATCACTATTTGATGGAAAATTGAAAGTTTAATTGATTTATTTAAAAAAAAAATTCTTTAACACGTTGTATCATGTTTTAATCTAATGTATTAAAAACCTTTGCGCAAAATATACAATGAACTTAGATGTTTCGAATTATCTTTAACGAATCAGAAGAAAGATATTAAATTGAATTGAATCTTTTTGCTTTTCAGGCATACATCTCCTGCGCCCTGGGTGTCCACAGAGTCGGCTACGTTATGATCTGCTTCGGGGTGGTCAATGCCGGTTGTTCCTTGCTATTCGGTTCGCTAATGAAATTTGTTGGCAGACAGCCGTTGATGGCACTAGGCGCTATCGTTCATTCCTCCCTCATAGTCGTTCTTCTCATGTGGAAGCCCCATCCCGACAACCCTTACATCTTTTACTCGGTCTCAGGACTGTGGGGTGTAGGTGATGCCGTATGGCAGACGCAGGTTAACGGTGAGTATTGCATTTTACATGTTAATATTAGCTAAAACATTACGAGGAACATTACGCTGAAAAAAAACAAGAAGTTTTATATGTGATAAAAAATGTGCATTAATTGGAATGATTTTGCAGAATTGTCGATACTTTCGATATATCAATTTTGCAGCAATTATTTTAGTTATTAAAAAAATTGAACATTTTAAAAAATATTATTGTTTGTGCAAATTATTATTTGCAGAATTGAATACAACGAACACAATGATCGATGTTGCATTATAAAGAAATTAAAAAAGATTATTCGATGTTCAATGTCGGATTAAATTAGATCGGTACAGAGTAAAACAAGTCTGTAACGTAACACGCTATTGTTTGTACAGTCAAACAAATGAAGTAAACGATATACTGAGATTTGTTCTTTGTAACTAAACTAGTATATACTTGTTATACCTAAAATGATATAGATATATATTTAAAGTTTGGCAAAAGCAAAGTAGAAAGAAGTTGCAACTTAGTACAGCAACAAAGAATAGATAATGCTATATTAAAAAGATTTTTTATTACGTCGCAGTTATCGGATTAAAGTTTGTAACAGGTTGTAACGGTAAAAGATAACGAATCATCTTGAACGTATGAATCTATTTGATAATTTGTCTTCAAAAACCGGATCCATGAATTTTGATCATAAGCCATCGATTTCATCAAGATTTATCTACATTTCGCATTTGTTTGTTCGTCGGATAATCAATACGGATATTGATAGATCAGACGGACACTTGATGGGCGTCCTTAATATATTCACAATAAATAATATTTGTCTGGAGATATATCACTTCTCATCAATATTAACGTTCCTGCTGAGAGTTAGGGTCACTGATCGACCTAGTCTGAAAAAAAGAGAGAACAAGCGGATTTTATTACCATTAAGTTTACAGGATCCATAAAACCACTCGGCTATATTTTGCATTATGTAAATGTCGATTTTCCGAACGGATGTCATTTACAAAAAGTGTCCCCCTTTTTAGCTATATGATTACTCATCACTGATAAGACGATAGATGGAAAGTTTAATGACGTAATCTGTAAAAAAAATCAAGCGTATTAGAAGGAAATAATAAATCGCAAATTAATGAGCGGATAAATTGCTTCGATAATTATCGCCTATAGAATCGATAATAATGTAATTTTCTTTACACATGTCGCCGTCATGTAATCAGTCAAATTAATAAACAGCGTGTGATTAATGAGAGTGCTTTCCAAGAGGAGCGAATTTAAGGGAGACAATTGCAACTTGGAACATTAACTTCACGCGAAAAATATTTTAAAACGTATGTAAAACATTTTACATGACCATATCCTAGATTTTTTCTAATAAGACATTATAAATATCATCGGTATGTTTTGTACTCACGACGAAAAAAAATGGATGACATTCTCTCTCGTCGCCAAAAAACTTACTCACGCGAAATTGAGTAAATATCCATTATGTGCGGCATCAACGGAAGACGATGATTCCGGCCTTCGTTGATTGAATCATGTCCAAAAATGTAAAGATAATTCTCACGTCATAAAGAAATAGTTAATACTAATTTCTCGAATTTAGCTCCAGGGTTTCATTTGTGCTCAAGGACATTTCGTTTCATATTCTTCATCATATTCGTCTCGACATCATTATACTATGATTAACAATAAGAGATATTCACATTATAATTTATAAATTAAAATACGCTTTTTTAGTCTTTAGAAAAAGACAATTGTAATAATTTTTTTCGGAGATAAAAGAAAAATATCCGAATGATCTTCCAATAATTTTGACATAGACTTTTCTCTTTTATTCACAACCGCGATTTGCTCATATAACGAACAATTGACTAGCACATAGCGTTGCTTATGTATAGCAGATATCTTTGTATATAATTAGAGTTTCTACACGAATTCGAAGTCAGATGAGTGTCAGATGATTTTTTTTTTGTTTTGCAGAATGTAACTTTGTGTGTAACTCTTGTGAGATCACCCATGTTCGAATTACGTTCCCGAGATTTTGTAGAAACCGATATGCGAATACTTCCAAACAGGTGCATATAAAATCACACAATGTAGACAACTGCATTTACCTCACATCCGGTTTTATCCGGTTTTATCCGATTAATTGCACGCGTCGAGTGCACCGTGAGAATTTTTAATTTTAGCTAAATAATGTGTGATATTATTTAAAAATGTCTATAAAAGATGATCGTCTATAAAAGAAGAATCTTAGAAACTATATTAATTAACGATGGAATTGTTTTCAACAATTTTAAAATACAACTTCAAATTAACAAAATGAAAATGTATTATTGCGTAATGCTGAAAATTTTATTTGTCAAGTTTCAATGAACGGCACGTTCTTTTTAATATGAATAAAAACATTTTTATCGATTAAGGCTATCATTGTCATAGACTAATGTATAATCTCGTATATTCTGCTTCTCTCCCACGGATTTTCCGCCTCCATTTGGATCATTTATTTCCTTAACACGGCTCGCGCATCAGCGTTATCATTATCGCTGTTACGTGCTTTCTGAAAGCGCATCTAACAAGTGCCGACGAGTCAAGGATTCGATCCACCTGCGGGCTCGTTATTTCGCCGTCAAATGCGTAGCGACGATGAACGTAAAACAATCGACCTCGGTGTATGCACGTGGTATCTGGATGCACCTATTCGTAGCCGCGTAGCGAATCCGATAAGAGCACCTGCCAAGTCAGCCCGCAACAAATGAGATCGTTTAAGTCGTTTCAGTTAAGCACGTGAGTCAGGGATTTTCTGATGAATAGAGAAAGAAAGAAAGACTTTTTTTCTCTAGAAATTTTTCAATACTCAAATACACCTTTATCTTTTCTTTTATCTCGTCTCGACAGATCGTTAATATGGTCGAATAAGAAATCTATCATTCGCGCAATTAAAGTACGCAAAGTTTGATTTCGACAGTTTGGTTGTTTTTCGCGCGGATAAATTTTTAATTAAATTATTGATCTTCTTATTGAATCGATTTTATTGACCGATTTTGCAGGACTCTACGGCACGCTGTTTAGGCGCAACAAAGAGGCGGCCTTCTCGAATTACAGGCTGTGGGAGAGCGCCGGCTTCGTGATCGCGTACGCGTACAGCACGCACCTCTGTGCCCGTATGAAGCTGTACGTGTTGCTGACGGTGCTGATCACCGGCACCACGGGCTACATCATCGTCGAGCTGCTGCACAGACGCAAGCAACGGCGGCTCAAGGCGCTCGCCGAGGATCCGAAAGCCGCTCAGGCGGCCGCCGAGGCGAACCAGCCGGAGGAGACCGACGACGAGAAGGACGATCTTGACGACGAGATCATTATCACGCATCTGTGAACGACTGGTCCGCGTAGTCGACGTAGTCGTTTCTCTTTCAAAGCTCCTCGCGTCCGCGCCGCTTTCCCGTCTCGTCGACGGGGGACTCGAGACGACGGCCGGAAGACTCAATCAATCGATTTCGCGAGCACCACCATTTCCTTCGCTATATCCGCCGAGATCTTCCGCCTGTCATCCCCTTGTTCTCGCTTCATCGATCCGTCTATTCTGAGAGATAGAACCATAGTAGAATCAATGACCAGCCGCGGCACTCTTCCCCGTTGATGATGGCGAGGAAAGCGTACTCTCAGTGGGCAACGCTGCCTCCGGAACGAGAGATCGCGGAATCACGTTCTGTCGTGGGATGATCAAGGTTGATCCTCGAGGGAACGGTGGGTATGCCCACACCTTCCACGATGAAGTGGAGATGCCGGGCGTCGAGTCCATCTTCGCGGACGCTTCTCTCCAAGGTAACGCCGAATGCGACGCGTCTCTCTCTGGACTGAAATCTGGCTTCTACCTTCCTCAGAGGGATGAGTCGATGAGCCGACAAGTAATACACTTGTCAATATGATGGTGCTAAGAAACGTATGGTGACGTAAAACTCGCGTGCTACTAGGAACATAGAATTTCCGCCATCGTTGCTCGGAGCTGTCAAATTAATGCCATGATGAGGAATCATCTTGATCCACGATTCACGTTTCTGAGACCTCATTATCGCGTTTATGTGATCGTGGAAATAACGCGCGGCGCGGAGATGAAAGCGCATTTTATTGCGCACAGACCACGCGCGCTTCTGCAAGACGTGTGTTAAAAATGAGAATTTTAGAACTATTCAATTTGTATCACGTTTTTTTTTTTTATTGAGAAAATGTCCTGGCGATCGTTATTGTCATCGCGTATCGAGAAGAAGAAATGCAAGAAGCACTTTTGCTTTTTCAGATTTGGGAACATTAAACATCTCGATTTTTATTATCTTGTTAAATAATAGAAAGATTTTTGTGATCCTATTAGGCTTTCAAATTTTATATTTATAATGCTAATATAAAGAAATGCGTCGGTTCCGACATTTATTCAATCAGTCTGATGATCTTTATAAATTCGAATCTTTTCATTATAAATTGACTATAATTTGTAAAGATTATCATACTTCATAAGTAGAAATATATATGACACATATAGCTGTAATTAACGAAGATAACAGGTTTCGATGAAAATTATATTCGAAGATAAAATATTTTTCTTTGAATTCATAACGCTCTATTGTTTAAAAAAAAGAGACAATCATTATCATGAAACAATCGTCGGCAAACGGTGTTTTTTCAATCAAGGAATGCTGTTATCGGTCACGTTGGCAGACGAAGTTCCTTGAATTTCATTTTTTTCTTGTGAAAGAAGCATGTGAAATGTCAATTTATATATAGAAACAATATTTTTTTTGCTGGGATAAATGAGTCAAATAGAATAAACAGAAATTCATTCTTCATGGAACTGACTTTCAAATTTTTAAAGTTTTACTAATTTTTAAAGTTTTTTTATTTATATATATTTTTTTATTTTTAATTTTGTTTTATCTTATACAAGAAGAAATTCATTTTTAATTATATAATTGAAAAATATCTTTTACAAATATCGTACAAAAAAAGCTTCTTTTTATTCCATATTTATTAATATCATCGCAATTTAAAAATTCGAAGAATGCAACTTTGTTTCGCATTTATTTTCCGCTGAAATTTTATCGCGAGCCGCTTTTCATTCAAGCGGTCAAGGCACAAGAAATATATCAAGTTACTATAAAACATCATAAAAATAAACACCATAAATCTCTTGGATGCAACATTCCGTTCTGTTATATGTTCCATCCTATACAGGACTTTGGTAGTTCAAGAGTCTACGATGTAAGCTTAGGATACGGAGGCAATCCTAATGAGATCCGTTCTTGCGAGTCGTCGTCATGTTGATAGAACGCCGATTATCTTTTCTGTCCACGAACCTGTCCACGAACCTGTCCAGAAAAGAAGAAAAAAATTATAGGAATTGCATCACATGTGACATGCAGTACACCTTTATTATCTGTAAAAAGATGGTCGGTACGTGAGAATATGAAAAACTCATGTCTCCGAGTTCCGCGAAATTATGAGCATTCTTTATAAATACTTCGATTAATATTCTCGCTAATTACTCACTGTGTAATTATGAAGGAAATCGAGAGAAAGCGTCTTCTTTTAGAAGGTCATCTTGATGATTTCATACGTTACTGAATTGACAAGCTACTTCATTCATAAAATTCATCAGAAATAAAATTCGATTAGCGTAGCGTTGATTGAAAATTAAAATAGATTAATATTGGTTCCAACATTTATTGAAATTGATTAATTTAGATTGTAGAGGTTTGAAAAAAGCTATACGCTTCTATTTAGAAAAATTCATCTTCGTCTATTTATCTAATCTAAAAACATCTCACGAAGCTTTTGTATAAGATGCTACGGAGACCTAGAGCAGCGTTCTATTAGCAGCAGCGTATGTAAAATCAAGTATTTCAGGTCTGGTCCGTTTCCGATAATTATCGCGCAACTCGGTGGATTAATTGCGTGCGTGCTGCTCTTATCTGGCGCTTATCAGTCTCGTGCGGCTCCGTCCGTTACGCATTTGCTCCACGTGCTCTCAGAGCCGGCGCGGTAAACCAGACGCGCGACTCCACAGTTCGCGTTTCCACAAACGATCGGGTGACCGAGCCGACTACTTTTTTTTCCGCCAGAGCGATCAGAACGGGACGGGCAAGAAGCCGGGGATAGGAAACCCGCGCGGCAATCCTGTCTCCCGGACGGGACATTCGAGCCTCGGTGGTTACCAGCCGCCTATTTATACATCACCCCACGGTACCAATCCGATCGACATCGCGTCGCGTCCGCGTCGCGTCTCGTTTCCGTTTTATTGGTTCCGTTCAAGTTTCTCTTGCTCGTTTTCCGCATCGGTGCGACGAGAACCCGTCCCGCCGGCGCGGCGCGGCGCGAGTATTGCGATTTTCTGCGCGGTCGGCGCCGTCGTCTCGCGATGAGAGCCCCGTAATGACGGCGCTGAGTACGGAACGCGCCGCGTGTAACGATCAGCTCGCTTTGCTCGCTTTTGCCAGCTGGATTTTTACGCGCGTCGCCGTGCTCCTCCGCCTTCTTTCATCTTTCGCCTGTTCTCTCACCGCCTCCTTCTCTCTTTCCGCCCCGTCTACACGGCGCCGCGGAAAGTATCACGCTACTCGGTGGGGTCGCGCTTTTAACTCCGCGCTACGTTACGTCCCTCCCGCGTCCCGCTCCGTCGCGGTGAATTCCTGCCGTTCTCGTCGCAGAATTCTGAAAGTGGGATGGACACGAGCAACGAACGATGAGACGATCGGTATTAATCGCGCGAAATGAAACGACAACCGGTCACCATGAGTCTCCTCTCTTTTTTTTCTTCTCCCGAGTACCGTGCGTTCTCCCGCGCCTGTTACACCCGAAGTGGGATCCGAAACGATCGTCGAGATAAGATAAAGAGCGACGAGTCTTATTCATTATGTTTCAATTGAAAATTATTGAAATTAAAATTCTTGCATTTTTTTTTTTATTCAATCTTGGTGTTTGGCGAGTGTAGGCTCCGAAAAACTTTTTCAAAAATTTGCGAGCATAAATAACGATCACGAGACATTTGTTTAAAAAGTGATACGTTCTATCATACACGTCGACGAAACGTGCATACACGCCTTATATATGCCTTATACATAAGATATCTGGTTTCTTACAGTCACATCAAGAATGTTTCCTGTATAGTCTAACTGCTCTATCTTATTCTTCTTTGTTACATCGCGAACATTGTAGATTTAAGTAGCTCGAGTTATTTGGTATAGCAACGGCAACTGAATTAGCAGTTAAATCGGATTAAAATCAAAACATTAAAATTATCCGAAAAAAAAGTATAAATTTCACCGAAAGAGGATTGCTTTATTTAAAATCCACTTCACTTTCGGTCTGATTTATCTGCGGTTGCTATGCGTAATTAATATTGCAATTAAATAAATAGTTTTACGGCACAAAGCATAAAATGGATGAACGAACAATGAAGATTGAGGGGGGAGGGGTGGCAGCGAGCCCTCGGGACGTCTGTGTAATTCTCGAAGGAGCACCAGTTCTCTACTTTGTTGAACTTTAAAGGGACGAAGTCACAAGTCACGTTCAGTTCAGAATCTGCACCTCGAATGCATCGAGAAGAAGACATGGTTTAACGGGGACCACGATCTAACATATATACTTTAAGCCTGCGAGATTAGACTTCCTAGATTTTATTTGAAAAGTACACTTAGAGAGATCCATACATATCTGTTTAGGAGAAGATGAAACATCTGCGGAGAGAGAAGATTTTCATCGGTTCGGGCCAATAATATTTGGGACCATTCCGGTTTACGTTCTTTTTTGCTCTTACTTGAGATTTGTAAATATATGATTAATATTAATCGCTAGATATATTATAATTGTGCGAATGGAAAGAGCAATTGGAAAGAGCAACTCATCGCTTCACATATCGAGCAAGTCCTTTGAACATTGTTTTCTGTTATTTCTATTTGAAAAACTACATTCATGCGCGTCGAAAGAGCGCAATTCCGGATATTATATTGTTATCGCGCTTCTCTCTTCTTTCCCTGTCAAGATCATTAATCCTGTTCTTTTTACGCTCTTGCTCCGTTCTCTTATGTCTCTCCACAACATGCGAGCATATACTTATCTCGTTTTAAGTACAGGAACGTACTGGGAGAGCGATAAAAAGGAACAGATCTGTTGCTTTTGCATGGATATTTGCTACTTTTTGGACACGCATGAACGCGGTTGTTATACATATATCCTTAGATGAGCTAAGGGGATCCAGCGTATCTGCTAAGTTTGTTGTTTTATCGATAAAAGGAATCGTGCGCTGCGATTATTATCGATGCGCCCGATAAGTTGTACAGTATATATTATTATTATATGTTCTCACTTCCCTATTATATATACTATTGCGTTCGATTGTTATCGTACATTATGATGACACGTTGATCATAGTTACAATCATTAATTGTTATATTGTCAGATTATTGCTGTAGGTAATAATATATTATTATATCATTTTGTCCGACGTAACGTTATGTAACGATAAGAGAATCATTTTATTAAAATTGTCGAGTAAGATAACTAATATGAGTGATTTGATTCTTTTAATTTCCCTTGACTGTTTTCCTTTTATTTTACATTGATTTGTCAACAATTCTTTGTCAATTAATTAAATCTATCGCCAAATCGAATTTTTATTGATTTCACAGAATCAAAAATACTGATTATGTGATGATTTATGATAATAATTTTTAAATACAATTTACCATATATATTTATTTACCATATATATTTACTATAATCTTAATAAATAACAAATCGAAATTACGTTTCTAAATTAATAGAGCACAATTAAAATAAATGTGATTAAAATATCATATCAATATTATATTTTAAAAGCGTCAATTTTTTAAGCATATAAAATTATGTAAGTTAGTTTGAGGATTCACAGAGAGAATTGGAGAAGGAGTAATTTTATCGATTCGTCGTTCTTGCGAGAGCAGAAGAATAAAGAAGGAAGCAATTGCTGCTATTATTACACGTTATCTTGTTACATAACATTATAAATACTATTTGCTCTATCAAAGTTAGGCTTATTCACTATCCTCTAGCTCAAGACTTGCAAATCTAAATTAGAAAATTAAAGCATTTCAATCATCTGTGTTTATCTAGTGTTAAATTATATGTTTTAATTATGAAACATGTTGGATTATTAAATGCGATTGAAATATAACAGTATTAAAATACTCTGTTATAACAAGTTTTATTATATATGATGTATAATTTATTGCAATATTCGACATTACGTACACAAGTTTACTTATCATACAATAATGCATATTTATATTTGCATACGCTTTAGGCATTACAAAACTTTTAAAAATTCTGTATACAGAATATAAAAATATTTAACAATTATATTTTAGACACCTATAATTCTGATTTTTATGGATATAGGAAAAGATTTATATAAAATCATTACAATGTTATTGGAATGTAAAATCTAATATGTAAAAAATTTATTTCTCTAAAGATGCAATCGCATGCATTATCATTTATATATAGCTAACTAAATTTTTACAAATAAATGAAATAAGTACAAAGAGAAGTATAATTTATATTTATATACAGAATTAATGAACAAAATAACATTTCTATATTAACAAAAATTTAAATGTAAAAAAATATAATTGCAATCTTGAATTATCTACTCTAGTGTATAATAATTAGAATAAAGTAAATAAGTAAATAAACACATGTTATATACATGTAATAAACACATTTAAAATAATATTTCACAAATCTAAGTATTTCTTTATCAGAAAACAAATTTACTTCTAAAGATATTATTATCAAAATTGTATCATTTTTTTGTTACTTTAATACAATAAAATTACTTCTTAAAATGCTGCTTAGATTTTATGTACAGTCTATTTAATACTTTAATATTAATGTTTCGTGGCACACATGTGTAAGTAATATAAGTAAGTAAATATAACTATAATAAATATAGATAATAATATGAAATAATAAATATATAATGTATGGATACATATATGTATGAATACATTTATCATTTCATTGAGCATGTTTTAAGTATATATTCAAAAATATTAAGTAATCCCTTATTACAAAAGACTTTTTCAAACTTAATACATTAGAATACCTTATATATTTATATAAAACAGTAAAATGATTATGATATTGCGTATAAAATACCATTATCTAAATGATCAAGAGTATTAATAAATTAGAAATATATCTTATTTCTTTTGTTACTAAAAAATAATTTATATAGACCAATGTGTATATATACAATGTGTATACGTACAATAAGTATATTTAATATGTATAAAAAAGCATGCTATAACAGCTTCCCTAATACATGATTAATATCACTTATTGGCATGATCATTATATTAATTATGAGTACAGTAACATCAGATTATTTTATATCAATACTCTGTACTTTCAATATTTGTATAGAATAAATGGTTACTCGTGGCATCGGTTTATCTATTATTATAAAATGCTATCGGAAAAAATGTTGATAACAATACAGCCAATAAAATTATTATATAATAGCATTTAAATGGCAGGCAAAAATGATATTAATCCTTAACAATGTGAAAGACCGTATATAAATAGTATTTCCTAAATCTTATTTTTTTCTACATGCCTAAATCTAAAAGCTATAAAATTCGTGAAACTATTTGCTGAAACTATAAATATGCATTTTTGTTGGAAGACTTGATGCAAGATTTTAGGTTATTACAATCTATCGTTAAGTATCTTATATGAAAGAAGCACAAAAGGCACTATAATACTGTCAGTTTTATAATTTCTACTCTTCTATTCTTCTATTGAAAAATGTGGCAATCGTCTATCTTAGTGATAAGTGTCAGATATATACGTGTTATTTACAAAATTGTGCTATCTTCCTTAAGTACCAAAGTTTCGAGGTTTGCTAGTATTGCGGGAAAATTAAAAGTAACATTGTACAAAAATTTTTAACTATATATTCAACTGGCATTCGATATATCGATATCTATAGTTTCTTCTTTAAGTAACATTCGTCTGTCTTCCTTTGTATTGCTTTGCTTTTTACCGCTACTTTTACGTTTGCCTCTATTAGTTACACCATCCTCCTCGTCCATCATACGTAGAATCAGCGTTTGATCAGAGCTTTCTATAGGCGCTATCGAAATGTCACGCACGGCACGAAATTTACCGCAGTTATTCAAATGTTCGTTCTCCAAACGGAAAAAGTTCCATACAAATCGCCTAAAAAAATTTACATTAAAACAAGAAAAAAAAATTAAAAATTTGAGAAGTGACAAAAAATTTACCTAAAAACTTCGAGAGGTGCTACAATAGAAGTCATTAAGTCGCCTGAGATGTATTTGAATTCAACGAGGATAAAACTCGCAATCCATATAAATCGTAATATAAAATCTTCTATTATTGCAAAATAATAAAACCACTAAAACACATGTGTAAAATGTAATACCCCATTTTGCATTCGAGCATCGTTGTTTGTTATTTTACTTACGGCAGTCGAGTAAACCATTTCCTCGCGTAGAAAACGGTTTTCGCCGGCGTTACTATCTAAAAGGCCCCAATCCATCTTAAGATCCCATGTGTATGAATATATCGAATTAATAAGACAACTGCAAATCCACAGCCACAACCATGGATTTTCCCACCGATTATTATATTCCGCTGAAAAAAAACGCATCATCCCATAGTCGTTTTCAAGAATGTGAACCACGCGAAAACTTTTAGTTAACTTAATTTAACCTACCTGCATGATAACCGTATAAAGTACTAGTTGCAACAACGAGAAACGTTGTGGAATATTTTCCAGCGTTTACTAGATGTGGAAATGCCTCTTTAGAATCTCGGTATCTACGAACACACTGCGCGAAGCGAAACCACGCCGGTAGACAATTCACAATAGGTCTGACGATAAGAGAGCCTGACATGCACTGCATAGTATCGCCTGCCTTCAACCAATTGCCATTTACAATGTAGAAGCATATCAAAAAATGAAAGTCTAAGAACGCGGTCGCTAAACTGTTGAACTGATCCGCCAGCCAGAAATCAGCAAAATTGACATATGCGAATGGCGATATTAAAATGCGTCCCTAAAATAAAGCAGAAGACTATGTTCAATTTTTCACATGACAAGAGAAATGACGCCACGCAGATTATACTTACTATGATCTTCAACAGCCAGAAACGAGCTTCGTGGCGAAACATCTTCACCGGATTTAATAGAAAGATCAGCATAAGGCAAACGAGCGCTAACGGATTTACATACGGCGGAATGCTCAGGCTTGTACTGTATAAAAAACTTAACAAACTAAGTGTCCAAACTACTCCAAGGACTGCAGCCAATTCCATGAGATGTTGCTCCGAAAGATGATTTCGCGGGTCCAACTCGAATATCAAAACGTGGTTGACACCGGAAGATCTCCATCCGTAGACGTTAATTCCGATAAGGAATAAAAATTCGATGATAAGGAAAGGACCTCGATATAGTCTAAATGCAATCTTCAAATTCTCACCACTGTCATGAAAGACGGCTAAAAATAATGACATATTTCTGAATAATACAATTGCAAATACGTCATAATGCATAATGCGTGGATGAAACTACGATACCTGAAAGAATAACTGCAACAGCTAGAATAATAAAACTACCGGAGAATAAGCCAACTTTGAAAGTAGTCCATGGACTCTGATGCTCGCCAAGCGGTGGCACACGAAGACGTTTCATAGCACGCTGTCGATCGCCGCCCTCGAGATCGTTCGTCACTGTGGTTTCCGTTTCCTGTATCAGTCTGTCTATGTCCTTGGACGTATAGAAGTGTGACGTCTCCACGCATTCGACCCTCCATTTTGAACCAGCGTCAACTGATAGTAACTAAAAAGTATTTAACAATCTGTTGTAGGAATTAAAATTCACTGTATAATAAAGCAGTATACAAGCTGCTGAGGACAATTACTGGTTTTTACTTGGATTTGCACAGAGAATACAGGTATGAATAGTAGCTGTTTCATGCATCGTTATTTCACAACTAATAGAAGAAAATGTATGATGGTAATGGTATTGGGATAATTGTAGCCTCTGAAATTACACAAGCTATAACCATAACACGAAAAGCCATAACACGAAAAAATTACAAGAGCCATTATAATACCTTGTCATGTTTCTTCAGAATCTTACGGAATCCAGTGTGATTTAAGTTCTGATAATTCTGAAGAAGGATTAGGGAGAGATAAAATTCTGAAAATGCAAGTTTTAGATCTCGAAGCTTTCTGATAGGTAATAGCGGCCTCGCGTTGGCCTTCCCTTTATTCTTCCCGCTACCCTGTTGCAATTCCAGCGCAGTCTTCAATTCGTTTTGCAGAGCTGCATATTTGCGCGTAGCCTCTGCCAATTTTTCTACCGCAAAGCAATTGACATCAGTTGACGTGATTGTAAAAAATTATAAGATTGTTTTAAAAGATTAATTGACTTCAATGCCAGAGACATCCTTACCTGAGTAAAATGTATTGATTTTCTTTAATTCACGATCACAAAATGTAAAAAACACCTCATCGAACGATGCAAAATGGCGTGATATTACTTCTGGTTCTACACTCTCATCTGAAGGCGCTTCTTCTACCGCCGTATAAAGCATTGCTTTCATTTCCTACAAAATCAACAGCGCAATTGAAAGTACATCTACACAGTAATATTTATTAACATTAACGAGTTTCTTCACAACTGAAATATACATTTATATTTAAAATAAAATATATGAAGTTAGATAAAAGTAAGAAAAAAAGTTAAGATTTAGTTCAGTGCAGTAATGAGGAATAATGTCTGTATTATCATAATTCTATTTCTCGTGTGCATCTTTAAATCTTTTCATTCACAAACGCAGGAAACTGTTGACATAATATTATCTTTTCAAAATTGAGAGCCGTTGACGTATTATTGTGTAATGTTCTTTATTCTCAAGTATATTAATATGCTTGTAAATATGTGCATAAACATGTTTTTAAAATTATATCTAATATTTCTTTTTCTAATATTAAAATTTCCAACTTCCAACATTAAGTTTTATGTAATTGAACATGTAATTGACTCTCAAGATGAAACATTGATTAAGACAAACGGGCGTTAAAATATATTATATATCAATTATACCTCATAGCTAATATACTGTTTACGCCACTCAGGCGTAATATGAGCTGACAAATGTTCTGCGAACTTCATGTTGTTTCGCACGCAATTTAATCACTAGCACTAAGAGAAATCTGAAAGAAAAATACATGATTAAAATCGAAAAGAAGAAATGATCCTTTTAATTGCAAGAGGCAAAACCAGAAAGATCGTCGGAGTCTACAAGCCCTCACTACTCACCTGAGCCCATCTGAATCCGGAGCAAAATTATAACTGGCATTTATAACGTGCCAAGGAACTTTGTCGGCAGAGCGGCCGACGCTTTGTCCGCTGCTGTTTAATGCGACGGTAAATATTTAGTCGGCCGCGAGATAAAGATCGCTATTTGGCGTTCGTGGCAACAAACGGAGCTCGCGCGATTGCCCGGAGAATCCGAATTCTTCCGTACCACGCGTTATCGCGTTTCATTAATTAAACTACTGATTGGGAACGATCGAGTTTCTCGGAAATAAGGCGATCTCCTCGCGATTCAAATGTTTATAATTACTCGCAAGTTGATTAGTCATACGTGGTCATTAGCTGTCATACGGCCGCTCACGAGACAACTCACGAGACGACCGCCATCAGCTATCGATACGCTCGTAAAACCTTGTCATTCTCAATGACATTTCTAAAGCGATGCTTTTCATGGCAGGAAAGAATTGGACAAAACTGGATGTCCGATCATGAACAGCGATGATGAAGAAATTTGCTTCTTTTTGTATTTTATTTCTCTTCCTTTGTTTTTTTCTACTTGCAAAAACATCTAATATGTAACGAGAAATAATAAAATATATATTATCTAATATACTATCTAATAGATTATAAGAAATAGATAAATACCATAAATACCATAAATACTATATATATTACTATTATTATTTGTATCAATTATATTTATATCTACATATTTTATTGTGTAAAATGAAAAAATGTTTCTGTGTAAAAAAAAATAAAATTAATTAACTATCTTATTTTAAACGTTTTTTAACATTTAAAAATAAAATTTAATTTTAATTAGATAATTAATGAGATTTTTTTATTTTTTAATTTATTAATAAATTAAACAGATGCGGGCTATTTATCTTTTTAAATAAGAACAAAAATTATATAATATTGTTAAGAAGATATTGACTATATCGATTGCAATCACGATCTATCCGATAGATGGCGAAAGTTTTCATGGTGGCGGCATATCAAAGGGTTTGTATTAATTTGTATTACACGTGTTTCCTTTTTTGTGAAGGCAAAAAATGTGAACATCCAAACAAAAAATATGCGCGGCGTTTTTTTATAATGCACCTGTGGATTTTTAAAATTATATATAGCTATAACTTCTTTAAAAATAGACATAGAAACATGGGACAAAGACGAATCTTCTTCATTTCGCACAAATGTTTATGTTAAATACATATATTCTTATCATGAGAAACCATTATGTGTATATACAGGGTGTCCGATTATGCAGAATACAGTATAAAATATCTCAAAAACTCTAAGTAGTTATTTTTTTTAATGTTTAATATTTAATCGTAATTTAATGATACTTCTTCAACTTTCTTAAATTTTCTCTTTCTGTTTATTCTTGTTGTTTATATTTCTTGGTGCTGCTGTTTTATTTATTAATTAACTCTTCTTTATTTCTTTATGCGCGCTACATGTTATTTACTTTTTAAACAAAAGGAACAAAAATTATATAATACTGTTACACTACTAACGCACTATTAAAATTATATAATAATGTTACAACAATTGTCATAATGATCTTTGCGATGACAATCGCTCACGAAGTAAATAATGAAAAAATCAGCTTCGTGGAAAAACGACAATAATAACGTCGACATATTCGAGTATCGATTGCTTTTTTTAAGGGTCGTCTACAATAGAGAAGTGAATTTTAAGCGTAAGAAATTGACCAAACACAATCGATTATTCTTTCATAAATCGACTATAATTGGTCAATTTCTTGCGACTTAAAGCTCATTTCTCAATTGTAAGTGACACATTAGAAATGGATTAGAGTAAACGCATAAAATGGATTAAAATAAAAGTAAATGAAAATGGAAAGAAATCAATAATGATTTAACAATTGATATTTAATAAATTGTGATCAAAATTTATTAATAATTTAAATAAACAGAATTTTGTGAGGAAAATGATAAATACAAACGTAATAAAGATATAAATTTAGTAAAAATAATGGCAGATAAAAATTTTTTAATTATAATTCACAAATAAATTATCTAATTATAAATTGTTATATTACATTACATACAACATTACAACTGTTATATTAGGTTTCTGTAATATGGCCGAAGGTAAGACAGGTCATGTTAAATGAGAGATGAGTTTGCTTTTGTGCCGCGTTACATATCTTAACTTAAAAGAAGATAGATATATAATCCATCATTAGATAAAGAGAGAAAGAAAAAAAAAGAAAGAAAAAAAGTATAAACACGGACTTTTGCTTGTAATTGCTGCTCCGATTGCTTTAAATAACATTGTTATTTTTCAATTATCTATATCAGCCTTATCATGTATTATGCCTATTAAAATTTCTGCAAGAGAGATTCAGAATCGAAATCGTATGTTCGTGGTATAGTAATAACGGACAAGAAAGTCTCTGTTTAACCTGAAAGAAAAGGTAAGGGTGATAATTTTTTTTTATAAGAAATATATAAATCTATTCTGCACAAATAATGAATATGCTTTTCTTTTACGGTATTATCAAAAGACAAAAGTGCTGCAAATAAAAGAGAAATACCATCTGTTTACATTTATATAATAAATTTTTACTTACTCTGTTTTAATACAAATTTTTTTAATTTATATATTTCTTTCAGCTTCCACTCCAAAAAAATAGGAATAAGAACGTATCTTAAAATGCGGTTTTTATTATTATTGCCTGTTATATTAAGTATCTTAAGTGTCAGTACAGCATGGCGTACTTTCTTAAGAGGTCGAAGTAAAGGTGGTAACTTAGGAAAACCACCTGTATCCGCTGGAACATTGCTTCCTAAGGAACAATGGTTTACGCAGTATCTAGATCATTTTAATCCAACTGATGTCCATGTTTGGAAACAAGTAATATAAGTATATTAATTAAAATATTTATTATGTTATGTTTCATTTATTATTTTATCAAAGAGCTTTTAAGTTTTAGTATTATTATATATGAATTGTTACTTTTTTTCAGAGATATTTTGTTAATTCTGATTTTTATAAACCTCATGGTCCAGTGTTTTTAATGATCGGAGCTGAAGGTATAGCGAATCCTGAATGGATGGTTGAAGGTCAATGGATTGAATATGCCAAAGAACTTGGAGCGATGTGCTTCTACCTAGAACATCGTTTTTATGGAAAAAGTCACCCTACTTCGTATGTGAAAAACACGAATGGATAAATAATAAGAGGAAAAGTTATTTCAAAAATTTACATTATATGTTATAAATAAAATTGCAGAGATCTTAGCGTAAAAAACTTAGTGTACTTAAGCTCAGAACAGGCATTAGCAGATTTGGCGTATTTTATCGAGAGTGTTAATATTGGTTACAAATTTTCGAATGATACAAAATGGATTGTATTCGGAGGATCGTATGGTGGATCATTGGCAGCTTGGGTGCGTGCCAAATATCCTCACTTGGTGCATGGAGCTGTGTCAGCTAGTGGACCATTACTAGCCCAGATTGATTTTGATGGTAGTATAATTATGGCTGATATCATTTCAACAAGTATATCATTTATGTATATAAATTTTTCTGGTTGCAGAATATTTTATCGTTGTTGCAAATACTTTGAGAGCGTATTCCGATAAATGTGTTAGTACAATACAAGAGGCTAATTCGCAGATCAATATATTGTTACATCATACTGTTGGTCAACTGCAAATACAGAAGAAATTCAGGTAAGTGTATTTGTCAAGATAACATATTCATCGTGAGGTATTTGTATTTTTTTTTTTTTTACATTGTTACACTTTACAGATTATGTGACCCGATTGATCCTGGGCATACAAAAAGAGTAGACATTTCCAATTTATATGAAACATTGGCGGGCAACTTTGCTGATATTGTACAATATAATAAAGACAATCGCAAAAGTTCCAAAACAGCGAATATTACTATTGAGACATTATGTGATATAATGGTGGATGAGAAAATAGGAAAATCTATAGACAGACTTGCCTACGTAAACAGTTTGATATTGAATGCTACCAAAGAGAAATGTTTAGATTATAGATACGACAAAATGATTCATGAACTTCGGAATATTACTTGGGCTAGCGAGCAAGCAGAAGGAGGTATTTAAATTAATATCGTATTTAATACATAAGTTGTTGTATTATTGATCCATGTTTAATGGCGAATCATAAATAATATTTATAGGACGCCAATGGATGTATCAGACCTGTACAGAATTTGGATTCTTCCAAACTTCCACTGGACAGTCTGATGTGTTCGGAAATAGTTTCCCGGTGAAATTTTTTGTGCAGCAATGCGTCGATATCTTTGGACCTAGGTTTGTTTTCCGTTAAACCATGTTTCAAAATTCAGAATCTTGAAATAATATGAAAACTTTTTTTGCAGATACAACATGAATCTATTAGAATCTGCTGTCAAGCGAACAAATATCATATATGGTGCGTTGAATCTGCAAGTGACAAATGTAGTATTTGTACATGGTTCTATCGATCCTTGGCACGTGCTGGGTATCATACAATCTTCCAATCCACAAGCTCCTGCCATTTATATCAACGGTAAGTGAAATTTGAAATATCTTGTTATTTACTAAGTTTCTAAATACGTTGTTTAATTTATTTAAAGGCACTGCACATTGTGCAAACATGTATCCTCCATCCGAGAACGATATGCCTCAATTAAAAGAAGCTAGAATACAAGTAAAAGGTTTAATCAAGCAATGGTTACAAAATTGAAGCTCTCTTTAGCGTAATATGCATTACATGTGATAATAAATATCATAAACATTAAATAAAATGCCAATTTTTTAAATATTTTAAGAAGATATATTTTATATGGTATCTTTTTTATTACTTTTTTATGCAGGATAAAAGAACATTTATTGTATTTATATAAATATATTTATTCTAAATTTATATAAATGTGAAATTAAATCTAGCGATACTTGTATATGCAATTTACGAATTGCGCAATCGATTTGTTATCATGTACCATGTTTGAGTGACAAAGTTGCTTCTTCAGTAGATCGAACAAATTTGCCCCGAATGGCACTATTGTAATTTACTGCGATAAATAGAATCACTGAAATGCGTGCACAGAGTTACTCCGCATGTAATTATCTCAGTCAATTAATAAAGATCTATATTGTAACAATTACATTATTTTTTCAACATTAATCCCAAATGTTTGATAAGTAATGACTATATAGCTAAGTGTTATATATTTATAATACAAACTCGATAGTAGCATATATAATGAAGGTGTAATACGATCAACGAGGCACTTATGTACATAGCTGTAACGTGCCTTCGAATCCTCAGTTATTTGCATGCAAAACGCACAGCTCGTACATGTGCACAACAGTTAACACAATATTCAACTTATTTCTAAATGGATAACATCGGCCTTCCCTTAACGATATCTATATGCAATATCCCGTTTTTCTGGAAACATAGTAATCCTTTTAAAGCGAGGCCAAGGTACCCATACTACAGATGTAAGTTCTGCCGATATCTGGTGTCTCCTCGGACAAATTATTTCGAATGGGTAAGGGGTTAACGTAAATCCTCGATCTTACAATAACTTATCTTTAAGCGTTATGTGTTACTCTGTGTCTGTATTTGATCGTTATTATATATTACTTCTTTGCTTTTTTTGGCATATCCTCTGACCAGCTTCTACTACCTTCCTTACGACGAGCGACTATCCATCATCCTTATTCTTAAGGTACAATGTGTATAATATTTACATTCCGTAACAGAACGACGGTAAATAATTTATAACAGAACAATATATGTAGGATCTATTTCGGATTATCATCCGTCTCGATATAACACATCTTAATAGTCTAGGTACTTAGCTTACTGATAATGGAAGATTCGCTGTGCTCCCTCGTTCAAGGAAGATCTTTTAACCCGCAACAGTTGCGAACGCTACGGAATCCTTTCTACAAATCACCGTCCAGATGATCGCAGATGATGACATAGCGAACACGTTTCAATCAAGATTCTCGCCCGCTTTATAGTTTTACTCTCTGTTTAGTATTTATGATGGGATTGCGACTGTCTCCAATCGGGCGTCGCGCTTCCATGATGATGGTGATGATGGTGATGATGACGCTTCTTATCGGAGACGCTGGCGTGCTTGCTCGATGGGTATGCGGCCACGTCGCTGACGACCAATTCCGAGCCGTCGCGTTCGGTGTTGTTACCGCGGAAGTTCTCCCGGTATCCTGGTTCATCCAGGGTCTCCTTGCGACGAAGCGGCGGATGACCGCCCTTGTGACCGGCGGTCTCGTGCAGATTCTCCCAGGCTTGGCGGTAATACCGGTTCAGACCCCCTCGGCTCTCCGAGGAACTGCTGTCGAAACTGGCGACGGTGTTACAGTCGGGCGACGCACGATGACGATAGTGTTTACTGCTTCTTCCGCGGTTTCTACATAAAGGAGACGCAGAGATGAACACATTAATAACTTTCTCCCGAGTTACGAGTTTTATATAATTTGGAGTAATTTTCATTCTGCAGCACTATAAGTGAACGAGTAAGCGAAGCATTATGTGCAACGGGGGAAGACTCGATTTGATCCTTCATCATGTGTGCATCTTTATTAAAATGGATAAAAGTAAAACTATATCTGTTACATATTTATATATAATAAAATAAATGAAAAAATACCCAGAATATTCCTCGTACCATAACCCAAAGCTGTTGGCGATCAAAATGAAAGTGGAAACAAGAAATAAGTATGTGAGCACAAATGTAGCAATTCTAACATAAAAGATTCGGATATACTATAATATATATAATATATAAAATATATATATATATATATATATATATATAATAAATGCAAACGTCTAATTTGTGCATTGATGTAATCTGAAAGAGATAATAATAAGTGCAGGCGTGAAAGGAGCACACAATATACATAATTATCTTTTGCCGCAATTTCTGTGCGGCGCGATACTCAGGACTTCTAGACCGCAGTCGTTTCTACTCATCTAGCCGATTTCTTCTCATTTATCAGTAATGACAAGAAACGAAAAGAGTAACGTAATCCCGGAAAACGCAATGAAAGCCGCTTTAATAATACAGACATCTGTTTCTTGATATATGACTACTTTCTAGAACTCTTGAATACGCGGCGGAGTTTTATCTGCCGGAACAGGATGTCAGTGCGTCCAGATGCGTGCAACGCACTACAAAGCCATCTTCTATTTCCGCAAGGTGTGACATGATAAGTCGTGAAACGAGCTACCACTAATAAGAAAGTGCTCAGTAGAAACCTTGCTCTCGTTTACCTTGACTAGTATCACTCGCGAGGGTGGCGCGTGGTAGTTGGTGGTGGTGATGATGTGGTGGGCGGTGGTTGCGTGGAGGGTTGGGGTGGTAGTGGTGATTGCAGGCTTTATTAGGGTAGAACGGTTCTCTCTCTTTCTCTCTTTTCTCTATTTCTTTTCACGGCGGGGGTGAGAGGGAGGGGCGGCGATGGCGGTCTACAGAGAGGGGTTCGAGAAGTAGCCGGCGCGGTGCGCCGCTGACAGGCTGAAGGAGTAAGGATGATCGCTACCGCGGCGTGCCGTGAGGTCGCGGCGCCCCAGGTGCTGGTCGGGGAAGGGTAGCGCGAGTAGCGTATACCAACGCGAGGGCATCCCGGTGTCGCCCCTCCCAAGGCCACCACTACCGCCACCCCTCAGCGCACCAACCCCACCGAGCCCCCTGCGGCGCCTTCCTCTGACGCTGCCACTGCCGCTAACCACCGCAACGCACAAATGAACTCTGTGTTAATCATCGTCGTGACGAACTAGACTATTTACGAGAGACTCACGCGATTCCCTGACATCTTAAATCTTGCGACGCGATCTTAGATCTTTATACTACTATCTCTCAACATTACTTTTAGCTAAGTCACTTTCGTTTATGTTTCTTGTTATCTTCATTGTTAAATCGATGAAAGATACTTGGAATGATACTCGTTAAAAAATTCACTATGATCCTTGAAAATATTCTATTTTTTTATATGAAAAATATATTATGACTCTTTAAGTGGCTGTATAATTTACGTTGAGAATCATTGATTTAGTAAACGACAACAAACTAAAAGAAAATCATTACGGATCAATCAGGAAATGAGAATATGTCTTTTTTGCAAAAGCATAATTTTAGGCTACATTTAAGGTTTGGGCTAAATTACAGGCTAAATTACAGATAAGCTTATGATCAATGAATGAAGGGACGAATAGTACTATTATACCTGCGTAGTTCTATCCGAGATGTTAGAAAACTCTTTTGTTACATCAAGACTCTTAGATACATGTACACGTTTCAGTAAGCGAAATCATCCTCTATGAAAGAGATACAGATTACAATGCAGCGCATACGTATCGCAAGTTAGGGGGAAGACAGAGTGGTAGACTAGAGGACAGAAGGTAGATCAAACTAATACAAAGTAAGCGATACAATGTACAATCCGACCGTCTATATATCGTCTATGTATATCAGGGGTGCGCTTCATCAGAGAAACAGAGAAGATTCGCGGGACGAAGATTTGGCGATGAGATCGAATCATCATCGCTCGACGTGTCTTAACGATCTTTTTTACCTGCGTATGAGTATAACGACTGTCGTGATCACTGCGGCGAGGAACACAAAACCGCCAAACACCCCCAGGGCGATCACGGCCCCCAGATTCAACTTGGCCTGATGGGCACCGCTGGGTTGCTCGGCGCTGTCCACCCGGAAGGGACCAGATGGTTCCGGCACCCCCGCGCCGATCCCCGCTTGTGCATGGTCCACGCCACTTCCAGATATCTCATTATCTTGCGGATGATCGCTGCCGGCGTCGTTGAGCACCGACGAAGGAGGCGTGTGTTTATTCAGGCCAATGCTCGGCCTCTTCGAGACGGTCTCCCTCACCGTAGCTGGGAGTTCCGCGGTGTTAGGCACGTTTCTAGACGGCAAGGAAGTCGTACTTGTGGTCGTCGCACTCGTCGTGGTTCTGATCCTCGGGGTGAGGTACGTCCGAATTTTTGGAGTGGACGAACGTATCGTCGCTCGGGTAGGAGAACTCACAGTTGTCCGTGGTTCTTCTGATAAAAAATAGGGACATGTATGATTTTATAAATATTAATATTGACAAACGTATGTTAATTTATTGTTATTATTTTCATCACAACAATTATTTAACATAATATCCAATTTTTTCAGATTCTATAAAAATGCCAAGAATATAATTTATCGCAATATATTTTTTTGAACATTGTAAAATTTGGATGATAATCGCTATGAGTTTATTTGCATTATTTAGAATACAAATAAAAAATAAAATTTCAATACTACAATTTTCAGTAGATTATGTCTTTATAAAAATTTATGATAAACTCCTTATTATTATAAATCTATAAATAAATACCTATGCAAGTGGGTGCGACGCGGTCGTATAATCCGGTATTCAAACACATTATTTGTCGAGATCCAACGAGCCGGTAACCCTTTTCACAGGTATAGATGACGATGCTACCGACCAGCAGACTTCGATTGAAGTTATTTCTCGCCGGGACACTTTCACCTTTGTCGATCTCATCTATCTCGACATAACTATGCGCGACCGCAGCCGGCGGATCGCAAAGAATCGGCTCGCATCGCGGCGGTGGACCATTCCAACGCTCATCGATGTCGCAAGTCAATCGGGCGCGTCCTGCGGTCGCAAAGATCAGCTGATTATCATTTTTCTCACGAACGATTTATACGAGATGTTCGCTCTCTCTTTCTCAGACATGCCGTGAATAATAATGAGCATCGCAATTTGCGATCAATTGCAATACTTACCGGTCATTTCGTATCCGTCGTCGCAGGAATAGAGCACTTGGCTGAGATAACTGACGGTATTATTGATGAGCGTGTAGCCACCGTGTTTTATGCTCGCCGGATAGCCACATTCGATACCTGAAAGATACCCGAGCGTATTACAATGCAAGTCACGTTCGAGATGATTTCATTCGAGTACAGTTCCCCGGCGATTGTGTCTCTTACTTTTGCACACTGGCGGAAACTCGTTGTAGAAACCGGTGTCGAGGCAAGTACGGGTCGCCGGTCCGATCAGAAGGCTACCCACGTTACAACTGTACTCCACGGTTGCCCCAACCTCGTATACGTTACCAGGGGTCTTGGTCGACGCGGTGGTGACCGTCATCGTGGAATTTGGTGGCTGTTCGGGCCTGCCGCAAGCCTGTGGTTCTAGGAAAATAAAATTATTTTTGCTATTATTTTAAAAAATAATCCAATGATTAAATAGCACAGTAGAAAAATATTGAATGCAGAACTCTAAGTAATAAATAGATTGAAGACTTTGAACAAGATTAGTAAATTATAAAGAGAAATCGTGTTTTATAATCTAATAGATTAATATAAATTTTGATTGAAAGTTTATTAGATTATTTTTTATTTCTCGAAAAATTTTTTATTTCTATTTCTCACGAATTATACGATCCTAAATAAAACAGTAAAATTCATTTATTTCAAAATTTTTATGAACAAAAAAAGATTTTATTACAATATATTGTATTGCTTCATTAAACGAAAAATTATCATTAAATGCTATATATTCAAAAATATCTTTTGGAGTACTAATTAAAAATAGATATATGACAAGAAGATGATACTTACGATGCTGACAGATAAAATTAAGTCTAGCTGTACAAGGAGTATCGGACCAGAGCCAGCCTCTACTGCCGTCGTACCGAGCACAGTCCTCTTCGGTACCTTGCGGTAAGCTCCAGAACGAGACGGACACTTCCTCGCCACTTCCAGTCCATCTCCATAGCGTCCGGTCCTTCTGGTCCCTCACCGCGCCCATCCAGTATTGACTGGACGTGTCACTCCTTCGTTAACAAATTTAAGCAAATTTTTACTTATTTTCCGAAAAATTATTTTAACACAATATTTTTTATTTTGTCAATTATACTTTATTTATAAAAAAAATTTAGAATTCTAATTACTTTCAAAATTTCTCCACATTCTTTTCATTGTTTGTAATAATTTTTTTAATTTTTAATTTATTTCATATTATCGTAAATTCTCCTAGATTTTCTTTGTGTATTAGCTGTTTGAATAACTCGTTGTACCTGTGTCGCCTCCATAATTCCCAGGAGATGAATCCCTGCAGAGCAGGATTGCTCTCGTCCACGAGAGTACCGCCGCGTGCACGGCAGAAGGCCAGAGCTTCCCTGAATATCAGCGGGTGGCGATTATAAAATATGTAGCATTTGCCGTTGTAGGTCGCCGTTGATCCTGGCGGTTGGTCCCGGAATTGAGGACATCTCTCGATCGGCAGAGCCTGCGTTTTATTTTTTTTTTATTGCAATCAATCATCATTACACGGTTGAAATGCATTCGTTTCCGCATCTCGAGAGAAACCCTACTTCTTCAGAAGTGAATATTTACCTACTTGAATATTTACCTACAAATCTTTATCTACAGAATATTTACCTGATCCGTGTAAACGAATGCCTCGCATAGGGATAATTGTACAGGAATTTCGACGGATCCCGCAGACTCCAAATGCACCGACACAAAAGCGCCGGGCATCGGCGGATTACAAGGCAAAAAGAGAGGCTGCCCTTCCTCCAGAGCTCCAGTGAAACGATTACAAATGGGATTCGTTCCTAAGTCTGGTCGGTTGTTACCAACTCGGACGATGATCGTGCCGGGAATACCTTCGCCTGGAAATCAATCGATTTTCTTATTAGAATTCATTTCATTTTTCTTCAGATGATAGTAGAAATTTAGCTGTAACATTTTTGTCTCAAGTCGATGTCTTAGATTTTATTAAAAAAATATTGTCACAAGTATCACATCACAAGATACGTCGCGTCGGTCTAAAGTTTTTTACTACATGAAATAACATAGTTTCACTAAAGGAAAACTTAGAAGATTATGAGTTTAAGCGATGACGGTAATTATTGAATTCACCAAGGAACGCTCATCTGCGCTCATGCATGTAATTAATGGCATATATTTATGATATGAGACGT